TCTCCTGCCGCCTCCTCTCCAGTTTTTCCAGAAGGGAGCAATCAACGTGCGCGATAACGTGGGGGAGGAGGTGGACCCGGAGCAGCTCATCCAGGAGACGTGTCGGAGCTGCCTGGAGCAGGTGGGCGCTGGCGAGGGGCTCCGCTTCCTCAGCAGAGCCTGGTGCCTGGCCGAGCAGAGCAGCCTGGCTAGGACAGATCCCTCTTAATGGCTTTGCCATTAGCCGGGGGGAACATCCGCAACCCTTGAGCGGTCGCTGTGCTTTGCTTGGTTCTCACCAGGAGGAGGAGAGCAGTCAGGGCCGGGCGGCTCCTGCTGCTGCTCTCCGCTGCTGCTCTCTTGGCCCGTGCCACACGGCTGGAGCTTCCCGCGCGGCTGGAGCTTCCACAGGGACAGGAGGCCCCCTGGCACCCGTCGGAGAGTCCTGGCGGGGGGGCGGGATTTTTTTCTTTCATGTCTTGCTGCAGTTGCCAAGGCTTTGTCACGCTCAGACTGTGCTTTCGCATCTCGCCGTCTGTAAAAGCACTGCGTGGCGGCACTCCGAAAGCAGAGCTGTTGCAGGGCTTTCGGGCAGATACACGAAAGTGGGGGTTGCCGGCAGGCCCCGTAATCGGCTAACCCTTCTTTCTCTTCTTGCAGGCCAAACTGCTGTTCTCTGACGGCAAAAAGGTTGTTCCCAGGTTGCCCCACGAGCAGGCAGTACCAAAGGTAAAAGTTGTTGTTGTTCCCAGAGGCTTAAATGGCTGGTAAGAGCTGGGAGAAGGAGGAGAAGGGTTGGAATGGCTTTGTTCTCTGCCTCTTGTCCATCGGTGCACCAGCGAGGAGGCAGAGCTGGGGGATGTTGGGTTAGGAGGGAGCGGTACCTACAGGGCAACGAAAAGCCCAGGCACAGTCGCTGCTTAGTGCAGTTCGGCGCTTCCCTGCACGCTTGCGCTCTCTGCCTCGAGCGCGGCAAAGGAGAGAGCGGCCGGCTGGCTGCGTGGGGCCCTGCATGACCAGGCGGGGAGAAGGGCCCTGCTCATCCCACTGCCGTTCCTCTTCCAGCGTGCCCGACAGATGGATGAAGAGCTGAATCGTCGAGGGAGCCCCGTTCCCAAAAAGGTAGGAGGGTTTTCCGCACAAGGGATTTTATCTTTCGGGAAGCCTGCTCCTCCTTCCTGGCCATTCCCACAGTAAGAGCGTGCGCAAGTGCACAGACAGCTTTTGGGGTGCCTCAGAGGCGTTCGCTCTTGTGCCAGCTAGCATTTCTTGCTCATGACAAAAAGAGCAGCTTCCCTGGGAGCGGGTGGGTATCGAGAGGGTTCTCTCAGCCTGCACAGCTGTGTCACTGAAGGATTTCTTCCACGCAGAGAAAGGGGCGGCCTCCAGGACAGAGCCTGTCGAACGATCGCGGGGTCTCAGGCATGGCTGCGTGAGTATGGGTTCTGAGCTAGAGCCCCTGTTTCGGGAGAGCGGGGGGGAAATGAGACTGCCCGGATGGGGGAGTACAGAAACCCTGCAGTCTCCTTCCCCTCCTGCACAAAGGAGAGGTGCAGGGGGAGTGCCAGAGGGAGGGCAGGAGGGTTTTAGGTCGAGCTGTTCCCCCCAGGAGGCAAAGACCTTCAAGGAGGCGGTTTTAAAACAGGCCCGAAGGGGTGAAAAGGTCCAGATGGGACCATGCAGAGCGAGCAGTGCGAGACGTGGGTGGTGGTGGGATCTTGGCAGCTGGGGAGAGGAGAACGTGCAGCAGAGGTGAGGGTCCGGAGCTGGGCACTGTGGGGGAATGGAGGGTGTGAAGGAAGGCGGATCTGGAAGGGCTGGGGCTCAGTCCCTGCTGCTGGTGCCGTGGTGGTGACTGCGCTGGTCCCGCAGGGACTCGTTCTGACTGCATTTTCCTTCCCCTCAGGTGGAAGCTCAAAGTCTCTGAGCCCGTGAGAAGGGATGGACCAAAGGTATTGGCTGGCCGACACTGCTGGGCTCACCCTCTCCTCCCCTTTGCTTCTGCCAGCAGAGCCCTACTGCTGCGGGAGCAGAGGACAGCGCTGAGCTGTGCTCTGCCCCGACGGGCCCCTGCAGTGCAGGAGAGAAGCAAGAAGAGGAGCGAAGTGCCTGGAGGCCTTTGCTTGTCTCCCCCAGGCACTGTAGCCTGTAGCTCTGCGGTGTGGTGCCGCTGTTAGGAGACCCGGGGTGAGCAGTAGTGGCCAGGAGGATCCCACAAGTGTTTCCCACGAGGGAAACTGCTTAGATCAGCCCAGAGGGAATGTAACGTCCCTCCTCTGCGGAAGTCCAGAGGTCTGTGGCCAGCTCGCTCCCTCCCTCCCAGGCCGGGGGCGGTTTCGAGGTTCCCTGTCAGAGAGCCGAGGCTCGTGGAGCATGGGCCGGCACCGGCTTCATTTCTAATGTTGCCCCTTTTCCAATTGCTCTGTAGTGGGATCCATCCCGACTGACTGAAACCACAACCTTTGTGCTGGGATCTCGAGCAAACAAGTAAGGAATGGCCCTGTCGATGGAGGGTGGTGTCTCCAAGGCAGGAGCCCGTAAGACTCCTCCCGTCACTTCGCTTCTCTGCCTCAAAAGCAGTAGGAAGGGCTTGGGGAGGAGAGGAGGTGTCCCCGTACCACCACGGCCGCCCTCCGCACAGGCGTAACACCCCCTCGTGTTCCTCTTTCAGAGCTCTCGGGATGGGAGGAACAAGAGGGCGACTCTACATCAAGCATCCCCACCTCTTTAAGGTCAGATGCCGCGGCAGGACGCTTCCTCCTTCGGGGTTTGCTCAGAAACGGTTTCCGATGGGAATCGGGAGCGTGTGCTTCGGCTCGCTTGTTTTCTTCCTCCCCCACGCCCTCGTTTGTTATCTTGGAGCACGTACACGCACGGTCTGGCTAGCACACCGGAACATAAGTTAACGGCTTAGCGCAGCCTCCGAGGCGGTGGGTTTGCCTGGAGCCAGGGCTTGAGGTTGGAGAAACAGCAGGCAGAGCTGAGCCCTCCCCCCGGCAGCCCCCCCGCTGGGCAGCACCGCGGGGGGCAACGCGCTGGAGGGAGCGCTGGAGCGGGGCGCAGCGTCCCAGCAGGAGGGTGGTCAGAGCGGAGGGTCTGTTGCCTGTGTTCAGCTAGGTCCTTGCTGCTTTATTGCAGTACGCAGCCGACCCGCAAGATAAGCACTGGCTGGCAGAGCAGCAGCACATGAGGGCCACTGGGGGCAAGATGGTGAGTACGCCCGGGCTCGCGGCTCCTGCGGCCGGCAGGAACCGCGCAAAGACCCACCGCAGGGCTAGGACGGGCGGAGGAGCAGCGAGCCAGGGCGCGTGCAGCGAGCGGTGTGCTGCGGGAAAGGCGGCTTTGGCAGGAGGCTAGGCAGGGCGCGCGGAGGCAGAGCTGCTCCCAGGGCGCTGCGGAGGTCTGTCCGCTGCCCCTGGGGG